GAAACTGCATAAATCAACTATCCCATTTCATAAGTTATCATTGTATTTGAAAGTAAACTGATAGGTGAACAGAAAAAGTAAATATTAAAATGACAGAAGGGGAACAGGCTATGAATCATATCTTAGGTAATCTTAACAAATTTTGACTTGTATATTTAAAATACATGAAAACTTTGAAAAGCAAAGCACATTGAACTGAGCGTGACAAAAGTTATTCCATGACTTCTACAGAGAATTCCCTCTAATTTGATTCCTTAATCATTGAAATCGGTTCATAAATAAAAGAGTTTTGCTGTGCACAAGAAATTCCTTACGGAATTAGAATAATAGATTCTCGACCTGAAGATGTGTTACTTTTAAAAAGCACGAAACAGCTGTAGTCATCATACTACCAAGTCAATCGTTTTTGACAGAAAACGGGTAATTTAAACCTATATTAACTACTAGCTGAGTACCCGACCTTCGTACGGGGTGCACGATTTTTATTTCAGCTGCAGTTTTTTAATACGGACAAAATGAGAGTTTACAAATTAGAAATAAAAAAAAAATACTGTAGGCCCAAAACTAAAAAAATATATAATTAATTTTTTAATTAAACTGTCATAACCTAACCTAACTAACCAAACTTGCTGATAATGACAAAATTGAATGAAGGTTTACTAATAGAAGAAATAGTTCTGTTCATAAAATAAAACTATAAATGCCTCAAATTAAATCTTATATTTTTTAATTATAAAATTAAACTGTCATAACCTAACCAAACTAACCAAACTTGCTGATAACGAAAAAATTGAATGAAGGTTTACTAATCGGAAAAATAGTTCTGTTCATAAAATAAAACTATAAATAGCTCAAATTCAATTTTATAAGGTTTTAATTATAAAATTTAACTGTTATAACCTAACAAAACTAACCAAACTTGCTGATAATGCAAAAATCTTAGACAAAAAGTTTGAGCCCATGATGGGTTTCGAACCCGGTACCGTAAGTTTCGAAGCTCAGCACGCTATTCACTAGACCACCGAAGCTAATGGCTTCAAAGCGTTTCATTGCGATAATGGTGTTCTCATTTTGTTCTTATTAAAATAACTGCAGCTGAAATAAAAATTGTGCGTACGGCGTTGGTATACAATGCTTATTGTAGTTAAATACTCGTGCTTTGCATTTGCAATGAGAGAGGACACGTTTTGAGAATTTGGTTTACTATAATTTACGGTATACTATAGTATATAGAACATCTACCATAGACATAATGTTCTACCACTTCACCTAAACAATAGAAAGAAGTAAAGCTCTCACACTCAGGTTTTTGTTGCTGCTTGGTTCAAATTAGCTGTTGTCATAAATGTATAAAGAACTAATGGTGCTGCACCCTGTTGGTAAACCGTATAGCCTTTTAATGCTATTGAATATCATAGAAACAAATTGTGTAGTTGAAACAGCTGGCAAAATTATTTAATTCCTTTTAAATATGAATACTCATAAGGTTAACATCGGAAACTCAAAGACGTTAGAGCCGCTGGGGCGGAGCCCGAAAGGATTTTTGGGGTAAGAATATGTCTATAATGAGCTATCATCATACCAAATTTCAACACAATCCGACCAGTGGTTAATGCGTGATTGAACTTCAAACGCACAAACAAACAAACACACAAGCTTTCACATTTATAATATTAGTTGAACAAAATAACAAGGAAAAAGTAAACAAAAGAATTACCACTACTCACATGTGTTGATGGGAAAACATCAGATTTAACTATTGAGCAAAGATTAAGATTACACTGAAGATTACTCGATACAGGATAGGGGGGGAAATACTTTCGATTTAATACTCATAACTACCCCCCCCCCCCCCAACACTCTCACACAACTCACTTGATACTTAGCCCTCTCACACCAAAAATTAATCCCTGAAGTACTGAGGAATTCCAAGTAAACTACATCAAACAATTACATCTGGGTAAAAAAAAAAAACAGGCGGAATCTAAATTTCTTTAGAAGTAGTCTCTTTAGAAAAAGTTAAAAATCATTGTCATGAGCCATTTGGAAAGGAATATGATTTTGTTTGTATAATATTTTTATACTAGTTAAAAGCCCGTGCTCCGCCACGGGAATATTGTCAGCAATAAAACACATAATGATTAACAAATACTGTTTATCTTTGTATTTTACTTAGGGACTGCTTAATTTTTTTTATGAAATAGAACAGGTAGTTTGCTTGTGTAAACTATTTTGTGTTAATCAAACCGATATGTTAATTTAACCAAATGAATGTTTTATATTAATTCGAGTTTCGTTTGAAAAATAAATAGTATACGAACTGCGCAATGCTGATAACCTAATAAGTAGCTACTTATGCTAAGGAGATAATTTGTTCAAGTATATTCCTGTATTCGTTGTTTTTTTTTCATTACATTTGTTGTTAAGGAATAAAGACAGTCACTTACATGTAAATCACGCATCAGCAGTCGGTCGCATTTCACAAATCTATCACCCATTCTGTGTGTAACAGCTGTGTTTACATCGTATATATAAAGTTGGGTATACTTTGTTCAATGTTAGAGGGTATTAACGGTCTAATCCGATTTATAGACTAACACTACCAGAAATATGTTGATTCAAGTGAGACTTAGAACTCGCCATTTCAAATGCAGATTTGTATGATATTATTAGTTTTTTTGTTTCTTTTGACCCTTAATACTTTTAGCGAATTTCCCATATAGGGAATAAACTATTACCGTAGTACTCATGGTAAGACCTGGACCCGGGACCGATTTACTTTTTTGTTTTGAGACACCATCCGTTTAAATTCATATATATATATATATATATATATATATATATATATATATATATATATATATATATATATATATATATATATTTATATATGTGTCCGTTAGCGCGATAACTCGAGCAAAAATGATCCGATTTTGATGAAATTTGGTACAAACGTGTAATCCTACGTTTATTCGAACGAGTTCGCGATCCAGCATAATCGGACCATGGGAACGGGGGTTTATGGGGGGTTTTATGGGGTAAAAATGGGTTTTTCCCATTTTTGACCCTAAAAACAAAAGATTTTGCAATTTCTTCCTAAACCGTTTTGTAGAGCTTAAAAAAGGAAATAATTTAGTATATTGAAGCGCTGTTGTATGCCTAACGGTCACGGAGAAAATTCAAAAATAGTGTAATTTAAAATTCCCATGTTATTCTTATGGAGAAAATGAAAATTGTTGTAGTTTACTTGTTTATGGTTATATATTGATAAAATTTGGCAAATTTATTTATTTCATCCTATACTATTGACGTATGGTCAAAAACCACTTTTTACCTTCCCCGTAGCAGCAAACCTAAGCACTCGTTAAATATAATGTTATTTAAATAGAGAATAAATATGTCTTATTTATGGAAATATTTTAGTAAAAATGTAATCAGACAAGTTGAAATTCGCTTAGTCTGCAGGTTTGCTGCGGCGGGGGTATTTTATAGTCGCTGTAGCCCTGTTGGTAAGATTTTCCATAAGCTCAAAATGTTGATAAGGAGCTCATTTTACCTTCCCCTTGTGACAACAAAGGAGAATATATTTGTGTCCTTTTTAGTCTGTTCTGACTGGAAATTCATAGATTTGCAGTAGTGAAAAATCCAATTTAACGACCCCAATTGGTTGGTGTATTTTTAGGGACTTCCAGAGCACATTTAACACCATCACTGCTCTTTACCTTTTTAGTTCGATGGTTCTCTACGTGTTTTTTTCGTTCTGTATGTCTCTTACGCCCGGTTAATGATTACCTTTTCTTTTTATTTTTGTACTTTTCACACCTTGGGGTTAATGATAAAGTATTATAACGCTATAATGACCCGAATCAACATTGCCATTAAACATCAAGTCACATACTTCTTCGCCAGAACCAAAATCCTAAGTCACAGTTTCACAAGCAACTTCCCTGTGTACTCGAATGAAAAATAGGGTATAGTTCACTGATAAATTGTAGTTCCACGTATCCCAGCGTACTCGCCATCTCGAGAAGGTAAAATTTGGTACTGCTGAACGTCAAACATTGATCTTGAGTAAGATTAATCACTACGATAAAATGTTTCCCACTCTTTAGCAATTATCTGTACAACTTGCAAGCGGATTTCCCCATGATTGTACTGGTGGCTATAGAAGAATAAATTATATTGATCAAAACAATAAGTTTCCGTCCCCTACTATGGATATTATTTCACATTACATACTCAAACTTAAACTCAATTACCACTTTCCTTCAGATCACTTTGCAGGAAAACTAAAACATTTCAAAAATACAAAATTTACACCAAAACCTACAAATAATAATGTACAAAAATACACTTTCCTTGATCAAATTTGTGTGTTAATAAACAGAAACTCCTAGATTAATAATTACATACTGAAAGTGAGGTTATAAAAATAATAACAAATGTCTGACAAAAATTAAACAGCTGACGAATAATTTTTAAACTGAGTAATATTCTTCAATAAGAATTGTATTGACTCAACCTTTGAAGGGCTGTAGGTCTTAACCCTTAGAAAGAACGTTAATTCTAATGAAGTTCGGCAAATCTATGCATTATTCCCTTTAATTTGACACATATAGATCTTGTGGATCGGTTCAGTAATTACTGAGAAAACAGTGTTACAACTGTGTATTAAATATATAGAAGATAGATAGATGCTGTCTTTAGTGAGAGTAGGCCTAAAAATCGAACAACGGGTTTCATTGACTAGAGGGGAGAAACGTTCTGTGTGAGTAGGACTTAAATTTAAGCAAGATTCAAATATTTGTCTATGGTTTGTAATGAAAATGTTCGTTTACAATATTGATTTATTTTAAATACTAAACCTAATCAACTACAAACGAGCAAGGGTCGGTCCCCCGGTACTAATTTATTTAATTGACTAAGCTGTAGTTTATATAATGTAACTCCTGAGGAAAACGGAAGTAGTATAAGTAGTACTGACACTGGGTCCACTCCAGGCCACGGACACACACCCTGTGGTGGGTCTCCATGGTGGGTTAATGCCTAGCCTACAACCCAAGGTCTCTCTACTCGTCAACTCCAGCCTCGGGTATCCAATCGCCTCTTGGAACATTAGCTCCAGCCTAACTCTGGAGAGTGGCTATGTCGTCAATCCTGTCAAGAGATTCTTCAAAGTCGGTATCTCTCAGGTAAAAGTTAGAATCCTACTAATATTATAAATGAGAAAGTTTGGATGTATGGATGTATGGATGGATGTATGGATGTATGTTTGTGACAAGTGAACGCGAAAAATACTGGTCGGATTGGGCTGAAATTTGGCATGATGATAGCTCACATTCCCGATTAACATATAGGCATATTCTTATTTCAAAAATCCTTTCGGGCTCCGCCCCAGTGGCTCTGGAGTTTCCCATGTTAACCTTATGAGAAATGAAATTATTGAATCTTAACAGCTGTTTCAATTAAACAAGTTGGTTCTGTTCTGTGATGTTCAATAGCATTAAAGTTACAAAAATTATCAACAGGGTGCAGCACTATTATTTCTTTTACATTTATGACAACAGCTAATTTGCAACCAAAAGGTGAGTGAGCGTAGCGAACGAACTTCAACCTGGAGGCGAGTTAGCGTAGCGAACGAGCTAACCTGAAGGCAAGTGAGCGCAGCGAACGAGCTCCAACCTAAAGGTGAGTGAGCGTAGCGAACGAGCTCCAACCTAAAGGTGAGTGAGCGTAGCGAACAAACTTCAACCTGGACGTGATTGAGCCATGCGAACGAGATAATCTTGAAAATTAAGAAGTTAAAAGGGGCAAAGCCCGCGGGTTACAGCTAGAGTAGAATAAATGAAGTTGAATGTGTAGTTGCTTTCAATATGAGCAAATGTTCTTCTAGTAATTGTGAGTGCAACTGAACGTACTTGTACAAAGCTAACCAGTGGTAATGTACATTATTTTAAAAATATTTTAAGTTTTCGGAAATAAATATATTAACCTAGGTCAAGCCTGAATTATTCTTCAAAAATTAATCTACGACTTGTGGTAAGGTAGAGATGTCTTTACTTACGTCTGTCTCTCGTTGCCCCTTCCATTAGGCAGTTCCATGGTCTTACCGACTGACGGACTCCATCACAGGCCGACCGCTGCATGGTGAGGACGGCGCCGAGTTGTGGACAGGCTACTGCCTCGACTTCCTAGAGCGCCTGTCTCATGAACTGAACTTTGACTACGAACTGGTGCCCAACGATCACTTCGGAGTCCGCTCCAGGAATGGCAGGTGGAACGGTTTAGTCGGTGACCTGGCTGAGGGGGTGAGGTTTTAGTCTACTTTCATTGCTCTCTTTCTCAAGAAGCTAATGGTATAATTTGTAAACTAGACTGTAAAGACTGAAACTATACTTGAGATGATCTTTGAATTGCAGCGCACAGACCTGGTGGTGGCTCCTTTGACTATGACCTCAGAGAGGGAAGAGGTAGTCGACTTCGTAGCGCCCTACTTCGAGCAAACCGGAATATCCATTGGTATTCTAAAGTTTATATAAAAATAATATTTGTTATTAGCTTAATGGTTTCACATTACATTTATAGGTATATAGGAATTTATAGCATTTATAGGAAGCTATTGAAACATTCATTCGTTTTAGTCAAATACGAGTTTTGGAATTTTAACAATATAACTTCCAACCAATTATTAATTACTACAAACCTTTTGTGGCAACATTTACAGATATAAATGCTTTCAAAGCACTCTGTAATTGACTACGTTAACTGATCGGCTCTTTGTTGTAGGTAGTTCTAAATGACTTTTGGGTTATTAGTGAGTGTTGAGCATCCTACCTCCCTCCTTCCTTTTTTGGGGAGGATGAATAATGATCCTTTGATAATAAATATTATATGTTTAAAAAAATCCCAATCCCAAATTTCGGAGCGTACACATCATTGTTCAAGTTCATGACAGTGCTGCGAATGGAGGTGTGGCTGAGTATTGTAGGAGCCTTGATAGTGACTGGTGTTTAACCAGAGCTCTATTGCTAATGTTTAATGTTGCGTTGTATATCAGTTGTCAGGAAGCCGGAGCGGCGCACCTCATTGTTCAAGTTCATGACAGTGCTGCGACTGGAGGTGTGGCTGAGTATTGTAGGAGCCTTGATAGTGACTGGTGTCTAACCAGAGCTCTAATGCTAATGTTTAATGTTGCGTTGTATATCAGTTGTCAGGAAGCCGGAGCGGCGCACCTCATTGTTCAAGTTCATGACAGTGCTGCGACTGGAGGTGTGGCTGAGTATTGTAGGAGCCTTGATAGTGACTGGTGTCTAACCAGAGCTCTAATGCTAATGTTTAATGTTGCGTTGTATATCAGTTGTCAGGAAGCCGGAGCGGCGCACCTCATTGTTCAAGTTCATGACAGTGCTGCGACTGGAGGTGTGGCTGAGTATTGTAGGAGCCTTGATAGTGACTGGTGTCTAACCAGAGCTCTAATGCTAATGTTTAATGTTGCGTTGTATATCAGTTGTCAGGAAGCCGGAGCGGCGCACCTCATTGTTCAAGTTCATGACAGTGCTGCGACTGGAGGTGTGGCTGAGTATTGTAGGAGCCTTGATAGTGACTGGTGTCTAACCAGAGCTCTAATGCTAATGTTTAATGTTGCGTTGTATATCAGTTGTCAGGAAGCCGGAGCGGCGCACCTCATTGTTCAAGTTCATGACAGTGCTGCGACTGGAGGTGTGGCTGAGTATTGTAGGAGCCTTGATAGTGACTGGCGTCATGATCTGGTTATTGGATAAGTACTCGCCTTACAGTGCGAGAAACAACAAAAAACTTCACCCCTACCCATGCAGGTTGGTGTATGTGTCCACTCATCTTGGTCGGTATCTGTATGTTTTTTTTATACAATTTGAGTAGGATTAAGATTTTAAGATTTTTAAGATTATGAGTAGGATTTGAGTAGGCTTTAGAAGTATTCATAATAAGTGATAATCTTCCATAATCTTTACGGTTCCCGGTTGAAAAACATAAGATTCATCGATAAGTATTGGGTTTGACTTTTGAATACTTATATATTGCCAGTAATCCTGCAAAGTAATTTACATCTTTGCTAATATACTGTAGTAAAAACCAATGTTTCATAAGTTCTCATTTCAGTTTGGCTTTGCTGAAAATGTTGCTTATTTAGCTGAAATCAGTAATTTACATCAGTGCATTCTGTCAGTGGTTCAATACAAACTGGTTATTGTTTACCTGTGACTTAACATTTGACATGAGGAAGGGATGTCTTGTTCTGTCCATAGTCACAGAGCTTCCTGCGTTCCTATCACATATTCGTTTTTTACAGGGAGTTCACGCTGAAGGAGAGTTTCTGGTTCGCCATGACGTCATTCACCCCCCAGGGTGGTGGTGAGACACCCAAGGCCCTCAGTGGTAGGACTCTCGTGGCGGCATACTGGCTGTTTGTCGTGCTCATGTTGGCCACATTCACCGCCAATCTCGCAGCCTTCCTCACTGTTGAGCGTATGCAGGTAAACAGTTTTATCAATAACTGGGCGGCTAAGTCGTTGAATAAAAGTGCCCACCTCGTACATAGATTGATATGGCCACTTTGGTTTTATTCTGGGAAAAGTTTAGAGAAGTTTTATCTACTAATACAAGTCAAATACCACTCACTCACTATCTAAAAAATTACAAGCCATAAAACTCAGGATTCAGCATGGGGATTCAAATCAGCCTCTAGGTGTGCAATAAGAAGCGTTTTCAAGAAATTCCATCAGGGGTCTGCCCCAGTGGCTTTTAGAGTTCCCATGTATGAAAAAACATTTCAGTGTTATGAAGAAAAAATTTTACTGTGTTAAACATTTTATAAATGCATGAAGAAACATTTCTTTACATTTGAACACATAAATACTTTTAAATCTTCACTATTAATTAAGGGAACCGGTGGTTATATTTTACCACACAAAATGGAAATATTTACATTATTTTTGTGGCGAGAAATAGTATATTTCATCACTAGGGCCTAAAGTTACTCTTTTTGACTTCCTCACCTCACGCTGTTAATAAAACATGTGATTGGAATTTCTTTCATATTTTGATTTTTTGTTTATTTTTCGTTGTTATTTCATCACCAGCATGGCAACCCATGTTAGTTTTAAACATTTTAAACTAATTGTTTGCGCTTATTTTAAAACTTATTTTTATAAATGGATCCTGCACATCTAAAGGTAAATATCTTTATAAAAGTATGCGTAGATTTCCCCTGCAATGCACACGATCTGAGAAAGTGGTTTTAAAAAAACATGCTCGCCTATTAATATATAGATAATATGCACATGGTTAGTTCTATGCTAAACTTGAGGTTGCTAGAGATTTAACTTTAATGTTGTTAAGTTATTTATTGGTTCTTAAACTGGTTATTAAAAAAATTGGATGTTCTAGAAATAAGATAACTACAATGTTAAATACATTTCGTAGAAATTCATCCTTAAGATTTCCTAGCTTTATAATAGAAAGCTTTATATTAGAACAGAATTGGTATGGATCATAAAACGAAACAAATTACATCTGCCAGAATGGATCAAGTTGTGTTAAAATTTAAATGGAACTCTCAAAAACCGTCCAAACCAGCTGTTACGGCTATTAGTACACACATTTGGACCAGGGACATCCTTTGTTTATGTTTATGATCCAAACCGTTTCTGTTCTAATATTCGTGAGTATAGAAAGAAGAGGAAATCACATAACGGAATGATCAAACTGAATTTTTGAAATAAAATTATTGTTTTGAAAGTTATTAACATACAGGGTGTTTTTTTAAAAACTTGCATCTTTATTTATGTAAAAACCGCAATAGATAGAAATATGCAGTTTGCGGGAATCATCTATTGACGTAGGGGGCCCAATTGTTTTGAATTCAACGTTACATTCACATTACCCCCCTTCCCCCCCCCCTGCCCCCAACTTATTTTTTTTTAATAGCAAGGTACCGCTTGTGACATATCAAATGAAAGAGCATAAAAAAAGAAAATGTTTAATGAACAAAAATTAAAAATCTGTTCATAAATTTGCGAGATATTTCCCCCCCACCTTCCCCGGAACTTGATTTTTTTTTAATAGCAAAGTACCCCTTGTGACATATCAAATGAAAGAGCATGAAAAAAGAAAATTTTTGGTGAAATTTATTTTTCATTTGATATGTCACAAGGGCGGGTACCTTGCTATTAAAAAACAAGTTATGGGTAGGGGAAAAAGGGGGGGATTATCTCACAAATTCATGAGCCGATTTTACATTTTTTTCCACCAAAAATTTTCTTTTTTCATGCTCTTTCATTTGATATGTCACAAGGGGTACTTTGCTATTAAAAAAATAATCAAGTTCCGGGGAAGGGGGGGGGGGGAAATATCTCGCAAATTTATGAACCAATTTTTATTTTCTTTTCATCAAACATTTTCTTTTTTCATGCTCTTTTATTTGATATGTTACAAGGGGTACCTTGCTATTTAAAAAAAATAAGTTGGTGGCAGGGGGGAAAGGGGGGGAATGTGAATGTAACGTTGAATACAAAACAATTGGGCCCCATACTTCAATAGATGATTCCCGCAAACTGCATATTTCTATCTATTGCGGTTTTTACATAAATAAAGATTCAAGTTTTTAAAAAAACATAATCTAGTGAATATTCCTTGAAAAAGTCATTAGTGAGCGTGACTCTCCGAATAAAAGAAAACAAAATGAAATACTTACTTCAGCTTAATAAACAGGCTATTATTATTAAATATAAAAAGATCCCGTTTGAACCTTTTCAGATTTACGTGGGAGTTTAATTTCTAACTTTCATTCGGCAATTTCTTTAAATTTTTCTTATAATATTTAACTTATATTTTTAGAACCAGACAGTAAAAATGAGAATTTAATAAAGGACCTGTTGTTTCTAGGCTGAAATTAAATACTAATAATAATTACCTCCTCAAAAATACATTTATGGTAGATTAAACAACAAATATAATGCATCCCAAATTTTCTGTAAATTGAGGTGCTCTGTTGATGACAACAACTAATTATTCAGCTGTCAGTAAGATGATAAATGTTACTATGTAATCCCTATGTTAATACTTCCGCTGCGTATTTCGTATTTCCATAGAGTACTTTCATAAACTCATTTATTCAGTGAATACATTACATTTTATTAATTTAGAATCATAACCCTACATCAACTACATTTAATTTGTTTGTAACTACAGTATTATGATTGATCTGTACTTTAAATTTAAGTGAAGGAGCTAAGTATTTTACTTTCATATTATTTTAGACTTAAAGGAAAAAAGGAACTTAAGTGTCATTAAAATAAGCCCTAAAATCATTAAGTGTACAGTACAATTTTAAAGTTTTGTAGTCACTAGTTACTAGTTCTAGCGAAAAATACTGGTCGGATTGGGCTGAAATTTGGTGTTATGATAGCTCACATTCCCGATTAACACGATAACTCGAATATTTTTGCTCCGATTTTTATGAAATTTGGCATGAATGTGTAGATCTGGATGAAATTCTACACAAGTTTGTTTTATGATATTCTATAGCACTAAAAAGTGATAAGGCTTACCAACAGGATGCAGTGCAATTAATTTTTCTTGCATTTATGAACCAAAAACTGTGATACACAATGAGAGCTTTACTTTTTTCTATTGTTTAGGTGCAGTGGAAGAACATTATGGCTATGGTAGATGTGCTATACTATAGTATACTGTAAATTAAAAGAACAGAATATTCTTAAGCCATGTCCTCTCCCATTGCAAACGCAAAGCACGAGTATAACTAACTGCAATAAGCATTTTATACTTATACGCCTACCCCATACGAAGGACGGGTAGTGTTGTATAATGAAGCATTGATGCACGACTGAAAGTAACAGAGACAATTACTAAAAACTGTAGATTTTGAATTCCCATGTTATTTTGATGGAGATAAAGAATATCCGTGTAGTTTGCTTGTTTGTGGATAGAATTTGATGAAATTCGGTAAATGTATTATCAATACCATTAACGTTTGATCCAAAACAAATTTGTTCCTTCCCCGTAGAAGCAAACCTAAGTACACGTCAAATCGAATGCAATTTAAATGGGGAATAAAATAAATATGACATGTTTATGGAAATATCTTACTTAAAGGCCAACCAGACAAATTAAAATTAGTAGTTTGCAGGCTTGCTATGGCATGGGTATTTAATTGTTACTAGTATAGAGTCATCTATTGGTCAAGTGTTCTGTTTGGTCGAACGGACAGATATGTTAAACTGCCTCAATTTCCTGAAATGGACGTGACTTTTCTTAGACGTCAGCTCGTGTCGAAGGTGATCAGTCTTGTGCTTCCATTCTGTCTTTGGACGTTCAAGTGTTGACAGTCCTCATGGGAAGATTAAGCAGCTATTTGTTGGTGATATGGTTTCAAAGCTTAATTATTTTGCTATTTTCTTATACTGTACTTTAGCAAGATTAAAAACATTTTAAATTGTTATACAATTTTTTTATATGCATAGAAACCACTTATAGTAAATTTCAGTACATTAAAAATATATAATTAGTATAAATAATTTAATATTCTTAATTTAATTATTTTTACTAAAACCCACATTACACTTTCACGATAAATTTAATTCACAAAATCCCATTTCATTCATAGCACTAGAATGAAACCTAATTACAACCATAGATTAAATCAATATATTGAAATTAGTTTTTCTCCGATAAAACACAAAGACAATAAACAATGAAGATGAGATTGAGAGAGGTCAGCGGCATAGTGTCTCTGTTTCAGAATGACAGGACCAGCAATCAGAAAACGCCGTAGAAAACACAAACACAGAGCGTTATCATCGAACAGACGACGCGATGCAGCGCTTCCTGCAACGACTTGGATTACAATTAATTGTACAATTGTATCTAATCACTAACCGGTGCTTAGATACCATAGTAACAGCATTGACTATAATAGTCAATGGAAACAGCATAAGTCGTGCAGGGAATAGTGATTCTAATCTCTGAAATAGAATACGTAACACGTTTAACACCATGTATACATTATTTCACAAACACAATCCAACTAGCCATTATATTTTTACAGTGAATATAACTTTTGAGCTTGGGAAAAATTCCCTGTCCAGGAAGAAGGTGTAATATTGATTCTTGTTATGAAACCTTGGGAGATATATTTGTTTTAAATCATTTCCCTTACCCAAAACCCCACCCATAGACGTACATTAGAAAACACCTTAACGTAATTGACAACGTGTCTGTTGTTTTATTAAAACATTCTTGTTGCGAATAGCTTTGGAATTCGTTTGTTATTTTTTGTTGACATAAACTAGCATTTGCGATTGACACGTTACAACGATAATGGCTAAGTTTTATTGTTATTATATGACAGTCGTTATTATTTATGACTAGTCGTTATTACATTCTACTAAGATTCACTTAGTATATCAACAACTTGAGAAAGCTAAGCTAGATCAAACCACACGGGTTCTACAGAGCCCGGGGGAACGCTATTGGAAGCAAAGAGAGAAATAAATGTTCTTAACTACCTCCCAAGTTTATCGTTAGCGTCATTCGCTTCCATACTCAATATAACGTAAAAGAACGTAAAGTGTGAATTTTTGCACTTGTTTAAACGTGATTGGGTATTCTTAATAGCTCTCACACTTTCTATATTTTCTATGCTATTTCATAAAATATGCAGACCTACACTGAACATTTGACAGAAAACTCTAAAGAAAGTTGAACTACTTGAACTATTATTTTTATGGAGTTGTAAATAAAAAGATATTTACGATCGATTAATACCAACTAATTGCTAAATAATCACTATCTTAAACATATTTGCCTCTACTTCAGTAATATGCGATGCAGTGGGTAAATAATAAATAATAATTTCATTAAAATCATAATTGTCACACCGTACTATATAGATTGTTAAAAATTGTTGCACCTAAAGTGTGCAACTGCTCTGAGTGCCTAATCACTGAAATAATTTATTTATGGCACTATTTAATTCATAGTCAACTGAAAACACTCAGTTAAAACACGTCAGTTAGCATAGCCTCGTAATTATGGGGGAAAACAGTCGTCACATCATTTATTGTCAACAATAACAAGTCAACATTAACTGTTGGGTGCCTCATTAACACACACTGTTTCTGACACTTTTTCAATTTTCGAGTCTCGTACAAACTTTTTATTAAAAAACAATTCGCTGGTGGTTGAACTTTTGTTTTCTGGTTTTGAAAAGCAATGTTGACATTATAACATCAACAAGTTTTATTATACCTACGTATAGATTATCAATTGAATTGGGAAGCTACTGGACGTATTTAACACAAATGTGGTTGATAGTTTTGTTACACAATAAGATCAGCCGATTCTTCAGGCAGGACCCGTTTGACCAATAACCCGATGATCAAGGTTTTAATTGTATCTGCATTTGTAAAAGCAAAAACATGACTAGTCAGGATGAAACTATGACAAACGTGCGGGGAAGGGTTGATTTGAATGGATGCAGTTATATTATACAGTGTTGTATGCTCTGGTATTGCCACTGTGAAAGTTTAGTGTTTTATAAACCTCACCTGATGGCGCAGGCACCGGTTCAGTCGTTGGAGCAGTTGTCTAGACAGTCCCGCATCAACTACACAGTAGTCGCCAACTCGGACACCCACAGCTACTTCAGGAACATGAAACACGCGGAGGACACGCTATACAGGTGAGTATCGTGGAACCTTTCAAGCTCACATGCATACGACTTCTTATATGAAATAATAATATAAAATAGTTAAGAGACAATAGATCATTACTTTGGATATCGACTTATATTTCAGCACAACGAAGAAATAACCCCTCAAACTAGTCTTCTGGACACGACCACGTTACAGATAGAACCTTATTATTGCAATACTTGACACCTGTCCAGTGAACTGCTATGTCTGCTATGAGATAAAAACAAGTTTCTGTATGTGACGCAGTCAGAGCCGGAATGACTAGTTTGCAATGTTGTAGCTGTATGTACAGCTGTAGAAGCCATACTTTTTGTATTAAACACGAGGATTTTATTTAATTGTGTTGCACTAAGCTGTGAACCACTTTGGGGAGCGAGCTGGCGTAGTGGTTAGAGCGTGGGACTTCAGTCCCTGAGGTCCCGGGTTCGATCCCCGCCAAGTCACCAATGGATTTTATCTAAGTGATAATGCCGCAACCCCTAGGTCTAGCCTGAAGTAATGTGAAAAACAATCCCAGGCTCGTGCCTAGCGTCCTTAGGACAAAAAGAAGAAAAAAAAGAAAAAAAAACTAAGCTGTGATGTTTCAAGGGTGTGGAAGGAGATAACGTTGAATGCATCTAGTGAACAAAGTCAATACCGTGTGTGGGATTACCCCATCAAGGAGCAGTACGGCCACATCCTACAGGCTATAGAGAAGACGGGACCCGTGCCTGACGCGGCCACTGGATTTGCTAAGGTGAATCTCTGCTACTGTTTTAGACTTACAATTTGCAATGAATGGTAAATTTGCCATTTAATAAGCCTGAACTACACTGCTGAAGAAAGGACTGTGAAAGGAAACTGACAGGCTTGATTCTGTTGGATGCTTTCTGTGTTATCAAAATCATTCGATCGACTTTTTCTTGTCGGGATATTTTTCGACGCATGTCTTGTCCTATCCCCTCCAAGGTGCTTGGGCTACACTAGACGAGGATAGAAACGGAAAGGAAAGGACTTGGACAGGAACTCTCTAGATGGACGTGACTACTCACGAAATAAATTATTCCCATCAGTTTCCTTTCCGCGTCTCGTCCGTTCATTTCCTCTCTAGGAAAGACAATCTTTTAAATTTAATCCACTGTATAAGAGTAGAGTTTAAACTACGCATACGATTTATTATGTCTTTAAAAACTTTGTAAAGTTAAAGCCATACTTGTATATAGGTGAACGAACATGAATCAGGATGGTTTGCGCTGATCCATGATGCTGCTGAGATCAGGTACGAGGTGTATCGCAACTGTAACCTGTCTGAGATAGGAGAACCCTTCGCTGAGCAACCGTACGCCGTGGCAGTGCAGCAGGGCAGTCAGCTCAACGAAGAAATCAGTCGCAAGTGGGTGTTCAATGAGACATGAGTAGTCTGCTTCCTCCTTAACAAACCAATGTCGATACTATTTTGGGGTTTTAAGTATCAGGTAGTGTCTCTTATATTGGTGTTGTATTTCTGATTACCTTCTTGGAAGCTCAAGGAACGAGGTATTTATTTAACTTTCTGTATTATATCTCATATCATTTACCTAAAAATGAACCTCGATTTGCCAATCCATCAACCGTCATCGTCGAAGGCCTCTTGGGTTGGTATGGTCATTGTTTGAAAAGAGATGTAGTCACCGAAATTATATATGTATTCCAAAAACGAATTTCTCAAATAATGAAAAGTGTACTAAAACGTTCATAGTAAAGTCTGTTAACTAGTCCTTATATATAATTCTGTAAGACAAAATCTTTACCAGAAAATGTTGGACGTCTGGTAAGTCGCAGAAAAGTGGGAGGGGTCTTAAATTAAAGGTTTTGACCCCAGGGACTCGGGAAAAATAGCAGAATTTCCATAAAGTTACCAGAAAACGAGATATAACGTAAAATCTTCTCCATAAGAATAGAATTAGAAGCCATTTTCTGCTAATTTTTGTTTACTTCATACAGCTGATCGTGATTTATCAACAAGCCAGTACCCAATGTTAACATTTGGATTATACTTATTTGCCAGTAAGTTCAGCAATGTACTATATAAAACCAGGGATAACGTTACCTATAATAATTAAGACTTTTTAGTTACGTTATACATATGGAAATATATTATTTTACTGTGAAACTTTTCAAACTTGTGTTTAACAGGAAATAACCACATTGAATAAATAATTAACGAGCTACCTTAATAAACCAGTATTTATTCACAACCAATTATATGTTTGCTGCCTTTATAGTGTGGCCTTGCTTTAGCAGAGTTAAATCTATGTAGTGATTCGAATGATTTATTGAAAATAACATCAACAAAGACAAACAACAAACTGTTTTTACACAAAAGATATGGCATATATACAAGGATATCTATTCTGACACATAGATAATATATTTCTTTGTTTGTTTAAATATTAGAATAATTTGTTTTATATTATTGAGCATTTTAGGGACTTATGTCCCTACAAGCCACTAGTTGCTATTTAATGTAGCATCTAACTAATTGTACAAGGTTCCACTTTATTTAATACTTTCAAAGTGTTATATCAGAGAATGAATGACCATTTCGTCGTGTTATTAAATTATTATTTTAATTGTCTAATACCATCATTAAATATTTTCTACAGGATTCTTGATCTGCAAAAAGAACGATATTTTGAGTCTTTGAGTGCCAAATATTGGAACACATCGGGAAAAGGAAGTTGTTTCAATTCAGATGACAACGAGGGAATCACACTAGAAAGTTTAGGTAAGAAGCGTACTTTTGACTTTATCATCGGTTATTAGTGCAAGTAGTGAATTTTTTTAACAAGAAAAAATGTTTACGCACTCAGGAAGCATCGAGTTGCAAAAATACACTTTCCACACGAATTGTGCACCACCCACAGTTGTAATTTTTGTGTGAAAAGAAAATGTATAATTACGGTGGTCACAACATTTACTAAAAATATTAATTTAATACAATTGTATGGAAACAAACAGAAGAATTTAAAGAAAGAATTTAAATTTTAAAACCACATTCTTCTAATTCTAAATAATAGACTAATAATAAATAATACTTGTTCGCAGAAACAGAATGATTGTGAAAGTTGTTTTGCTAAAGTTGTTTTGATTGCTGGAGTCATAAATAATGATTATTCATCCGCTTAGGCTTTAATTTCCTTTGGTTCCCTTGCCATTACTTTGCAGGTGAGAAATTTAGAGGGAAGAATAGGCAATGTAAAATAAGCTGTTTATGAGAATTAACGTGTTTTGCAAACTCTTAACAAATAGCTGTTTTTGTGTATGGTTGGTTATGGTATACCACTTAACAGCCGTGTTTTCTCCTGCAGGAGGGGTGTTCATCGCCACCTTGTTCGGACTAGCCCTGGCCATGGTGACGCTGGCGGTCGAGATATTTCTACACAAACGACGACAGAATGCCAAAGGGAAGGTGGCACCTAGGGCCAAGGATATGACGTTCTACCAGGAATATCTCAGCTCCAAGGAGTTTGCAGCTCAACCTCCCAACAGCAAGCGATCCAAGCTGATACACCCTGGGGCCACGAGAGTCATCACCGTGTTCCCCAGAGATCAACTATATTAATGCAGGCTATTCCTATGTTCTAAGAAGAAATTCGGGTGGATTATATGTTCAAAATTAAAACGTAACTGGATATACTACAAATTTAGCTTGATTTTAACGTCTCTAATTCAGAATCAAATTAACATTGTTACGGGTTCTCTCGCGGAACACCCTATTTCATGATAATTTTCATACTAGCTGTCTTATTCTTTTGAAAAGTATTTACTCTTAAGATCAGTCTGTGGGTATCAAGAGATGGTGTATATCGCTACTGAGAAGGTATTTTGTGTGTAGTATATAATAAAAAAAATATATCGACGATATGCATGTGACACGTGATGGTTTAAAGCCTTGTCCAGACGATCTACGTAGCAGTTAATCTTTTTGTTTGGCTAGATGAAAATATACGTTGTTTAACGGACTATTTTTGCAATACATACGCACGCTGTTTATAAACAGCATGTTTGCAAATTGAACATCTTAAACAAGCTTTAGGAATATTAATATCTTAAGATTAACTTTAATCAATGTTTTTCGATAATGTCAGTAAAACTACCAGGTATTCAACTTACTTGTATTCAACTTCAAAGTAAAACTAGTAAGTTTTGTTTTAGGCTTTTAGATTTCTAAAGCGACAATTAATAAAATAAACTATTTTCTAGAAACGTATGATGTGCGTTTGAGAATTGTGTGATTTCAGACATTCACTCTTCAAATTGGAAAGTGTTTTGTTAATTTAATCCTTGTAGTAACCCGATATATCGAATAACACAGTTTTATATTCAATTTTAAAGATTAACAGTTCAAATGAACGAAGCGATGTTTTCTCAATCGTATAACATAGATTTAAAATGGATTAAAGGGTCGAAAATGTTCTGATTACTCTAAAAAAACATCTTTGTCTCATAATGGCACTTTTGCATGTTGAAGCATCATAATGTGAAATGTTTTGTTTTAGTATAAACAGTGGGGTGGAGCAGGGTCACATTCTGTTGACGTATGTATCTGTCGAGACTAGTTATAGCTATGCATTCTACAATCCATAGTATTGATATTAAATATTGCAAGCTATGATAAACCTTTTAAAAATAGTTTTAATACCTGTGGCTAGCGCATTAGATTAAAAAAAATACTGCGTGGTTTTGATGTAAATACTTTAAATGAGTTTATGAGTATAAAAATACCCTTGGTGCAATAAACCTGCAGACTCATCGTGATTCCATTTCTTCGAAAATGTTAGAGTCAATATTTTTTTGATAATATTAATTTTGATGTGTACTTATGACCACTACTAAAGGGGAAGTAATAAAGTGTGTTTTTAGTAAGACGTCAAAAGCCTGGTATATAAAGAAAACCATCGGATTAGATTCAAAATTTAATCAAAATATATTCACAAACAAACATACTACAAAAGTTAACTTATTCTCCACAAGAAGGAGATGGGAATTAAAATTTCAATTTTGTTGAACTTTTTTCCTTAACCATTTAGCATTCGGCTAAATGTTTCAATGTACTAAATTATTTGGGGTTTTCAGCCCCACAAATTACTCGGAAAGAAATCGCAAAACTGAGAATAAATACCCCCGCCGCAGCAAACCTGCCGACTAAGCGAATTTCCATTTGTCTGAATTGATTTTCAGTTAAATATATTTTAATAACATTAGGTTTAACGAGTACCTAGGTTTGCTGCTACAAGGAAACTAATAAAGTGTGTTTTTGAGTAAAATATTGATAGCTTAGTACAAAATAAATAAATTTGCCAAGTTTCTTCAAAATATATCCATAAACAAGCAAACTACAACATTGACAATATTCTCCATAAGAATAACATGGGAATTTTAAATTTACAATTTTTTTAACTTTCTCCGTTACTAATAATCGAACAAAAATACTTTTATATACTAAATTATTAGTTTTTTAAGCTCTTTAAAAAGGTCTAAAGAGAAATCGGGAAATTTTGTGTTTTGAGGGTCAAAAGTGAGAAAAACCAATTTTTACCCCATAAAACCCCCCGTAAAGCCCCGTTCCCATGGTCCGATCGTGCTGGTTCGCGAACTCATTCAAGTTTATCCCGTTTTACACCTTAAAACCAAATTTCATCAAACTCGGACAAAAATTACTCAAGTTATCGCGTTCACGGACGTATATATATATATATATATATATATATATATATATATATATAAATTTGAACGAATGGTGTTTTTGGCCTCTGGGGACATCAAAATGAAAAAGTAAATCGGTCCCGGGTCTAGGTCTCACCGTGCCACCTACGGTAATAGCTACTTCCCTATAGGGAAATTCGCTAAAAATGTGGAAAAACACTGTTTACCTTTTTAGCGAATTTCCCATATAGGGAATAAGCTATTACCGTAGTACTCATGGTAAGACCTGGACCCGGGACCGATTTATTTTTTCATTTTGAGGTCCCTAGAGGCCAAAAACACCATCCGTTCAAATTCATATATATATATATATATATATATATATGTGTGTGTCCGTCAGCACGATAACTCAAGCAAAAATGATCCGATTTTGATGAAATTTGGTACAAACGTGTAAACCTACATTTATTCGAACGAGTTCGCGAACCAGCATGATCGGACTATGGGAACGGGGGTTTATGGGGGGTTTTATGGGGTAAAAATAGGTTTTTCCCATTTTTGACCCTAAAAACACAAAATTTGACACTTTATTTCCAAACCATTTTGAAGAGCTTAAAAAAACAAATAATTTAGTATATTGAAGCGTTATTGTGCGCCTAATGGTTACAGAGAAAATTCCAAAAAATTGTCAATTTAAAATCCCTATGTTATTCTTATGGAGAATAAGTCAACTGTTGTAGTTTACTTGTTTATGAACATATTTTGATCGAATTTGGAAAATACATTCATTTCTTACTAAACTATTAACATAAAAAAACACCTTTTTACCCTCCTTGTTGCAGCAAACCTAAGTACTCGTTAAACTAATTCTATTTAAATAGGGAATAAATATGATATTTTTAAGGAGGCATTTTAATGTGAAATCCTATCAGGCTAATGGAAATTCGCTTAGTCTGCAGGTTTGCTGCGGCGGGGGTATTTATGTTTTTAAAATAATACTTCTTTGTGTAGAAACAGGTGAAATGAAGCTAGAGACGAGGAAAAACATTTGTTTAAACAGTTAAAAGCTGATTGTTTAATTAATGTTACTGTATACGTAGCCTTAATACAACATTTTAATTTATTTTCAACGCAACTGAAATAATTACAGATAGGTTATTTTATCGTTTCAAGTTTTAATGACTAAAAATAAGAAAGCTTGAATCGTGTGAGTTATTCAGATTTTGGATTAAAATAATCTAATATGGTGATTGAAAAAAAAGTAACTTTATAGTAAGATAGGAGGAAACTTCTTAAAATCTTAGTATCGAATCTGAAAAGCTTGTTAATCAATTAAATACAAAATGCACACAAATATTCGGCTCCTTTTAGCAAATTTCCCTTATAGGGAATAAGCTATTACAGTTGTACTCATGGTAAGACCTGGACCCGGGACCGATTTACTATTTCGTTTTCAGGTCAAACGTGTAATCTACATGTATATCTACGAACGAGTTTGCGAACCAGCATGTTCGATTTGAGAGTTAATAGAGAGTAGGAAAAAACAGTGTCACATACCTTTCAATAAGAACATCCAACATTGGAAGGTAACAGGGGGAATGGGGATTGGGTGAGCTCACCAGAGGGACACACAAGAAGATCTGGAAGTTCAGATGCACTACACACTTCGAAATGGGAAATTTAGTACTATTATTCACTGATTAAGAGATAGTTTTTAAAGTGGGGACACTTCCACCACGAGGTGGTCAAAAGACCGAGAGATTGCCGGACAAACGGCGCGGTGCGGCACATAGGTCCGATCGAGGAAGGTTTTAGACGCTAACTGAACAAAATCATGGTGGGGAAATTTGAATTTTCCATGAGAGGGAAAGAGACAGAGATAGATCACGCCATATGACGTAGGCATCGTATGATTTTAAGAAGAATGTGGGGGAGGGGAAATGCCGTGGTGTGTGTGTGTGAGTAGAGTAGAGTATATTTTACAGACTTCAAATAGATGACTAATATACAAATGAATATTAAAAACCTATGTACACTGTTAATTAAATGTTAATAAAATTAATGATTAATAATGAGACTACTAATTACGCTATTTACAGAACTGTACTGAACATACCGGCCGCCTTGAAGCATTGTAGGCTTCAACAAATGATTGTCTACAAGCCGGCATGTCTAAGACACTTAGTCTATGGGAAGAGGGAAGACCTTTGAGACAGGCCTTCGATTTGTACCCTGGTTGGTGCGCACGTCCACCACACGCACTATACCATCGTCTCCGGGATGTGTTGCGGTGATGCGTCCCAGGGGCCACTGAAGGGGAGGCGATGACTCCTGAAGTAGGATGAGGTCTCCAACATGAAGCTCTGGAGAATGAGTAGTCCATGTCAAAGTCACAGAAAAACCACCAGGGTCGTAAATCCTGGTGATGTTGCTGAGTAGTTGACGCTTAGTGCAAGCGCCGGAGGGTAGGTCCAAGTGATAGGAGAAGGAATCCGTAGTAGGTGACCAGTGTAGTCCTAAGATGGAGTAATGAGGTTGCTCTGGATCTTGCAGAAAGACAGGTGTCTCACGATGATCTTCTGGAACTGCTTCCAGTAGGCGAAGGGAATTTGACGACCACTTCTGGAGTTCAAATCCACCTTTCTTCAGGAGGGCGATGAGTTGACCTTGGAGTTGGAGGGCTGATTCTTCGTCAACGGAGCCTGTGATGATGTCATCAACATAGGAATGAGAGATGATGATTCTGGCTGCGTCAGGGAAAGCTTCACCTTCATCCTTCACCAGTTGTCCCAAGGTCTTTATGGCAAGATAGGGGGAACTATTTAAGCCGTAGGTCACTGTTGTCAACTTGTAGATGTCAAGCTCGTGAGAAGGGTCTTCACGCCATAGGATCAGATGAAAATTCTGGTCTTCTGGGCGGACTCGAATTTGTCGGTACATTTGCCGTATGTCACAGGTAAAAACAACATTATGGACTCTAAAATTAAGTAAAATGTCACAAATGTCTGTTTGGAGTTTTCGTCCAGTGAGAAGGACGTCATTTAGAGAGATACCTGTGCTAGTCTGTGCACTAGCATCAAAAACTGTGCGTAGCTTTGTGGTACTGCTAGTTTCCTTTAGTACCCCATGGTGAGGGAGGAAATAATGAGGTTGAGATAAGTCAATGGTGGAAACCTTTTCCATGTGACCTGCTAAGAGGTAATCACTCATAAACTCATGATAAAGTTCCGAGAAATTAGGCTGAGATCGGAATTTGTGTTCCAATGTGCGAAATCTACGCTCCGCAGCAAGCTTAGAAGCTCCAAGAGGGGGGTGAGCCTGTTTGAATGGAATACTGACAATGTAACGTCCGTCTGAATCTCTAGCGTGAGTGGCGTCAAAATGTTTGTCGCAAAGTTCTTCTTCCGCTGTGCGTTTATTGCATGGAGGTAGTTCTTCCTGCAACCAGAACCTTTGCAACGAGTTGTGTAACTCTGTGTCATTGACAGAGAGCATGGATACAGAATAATGTGCTGAAAGAGGAGTGATTGATGTACATGGTGCTTGTCCCATTATGATGAATCCAAAATGGCTGCTTACAGCATGGGGGAGGTTGGGACCAAGCGAGTGACTTTCGTTGGTGAGTAACTGTGGGAATAAACTTCCACCTAACAGAACATCTACACTACTAGGTAAGTGGAACGCAGGGTCAGCTAGTGTGTAGGCTTTGGCTTTGTGGAACACTTCCGGGGTCAGTTTTGCTCTGGGTAAATCCATAGAAATCCTATCTAAAATGAGGAAGGGGTGCTGAGTTACCATGGTGAGGCCTGAGAGAGTGGTTAAGGTCAAGTGTGTCAGTCCTCGGGTAGAGGTAGCCGTTTGAGCAATACCTGTTATTTGAACAGAGGAATGTGTGCGCTTGACACCCAGCAATTGAGCAGCACGCCCAGAAATAAAATTACACATACTTCCCGAGTCTAAGAGAGCCCGGAAGACGTGAGTAGTACCTTGAGGGGAGGTCAATTGTACTAACAAAGTACCTAAGAGCACAGTGGATTCGCAACTGTACTGAGATTGAGAAGTCATGGCTGTAGCTACCTTAACGGGAGAGAGATTGTCTTTAGGTACCTTATGAGGTTTAACGTCAGCTGAGGGTTGTTGAAAGTGCGCGTGCAACAGGCTATGGTGTCTTTTATGACAAATGTAGCAAGTAGCCTGAAATTTGCATAATTTGCTATCATGGTAGCCGAGACAAGAGATGCATCTGTTCTCCTTTTTTACGATTTGATATCGTAGTTGAGGGGTTTTACCCTTAAAGGAAGGGCAAACATAAATTTTGTGGTCTGGTTTACCACAGTCAAAACAAGAGGTAGACGATTGCGTCTTGCGAGTGGTAAGCATAGCCACAGTCTTGCTGGGACGGTCAGAGGAGAATTTGACCGACTTTGTGCCTTTGAATTTAGAGGGTTGACCACAATAAGTCTTAATAGAAGAGTGAGTTAGGTGCAAACCAGCGTCTTCCACTTGATCACATTCTATATTGAGGAATTTTATAATTTCCGTCACTTCCGGCAGAGTGTGTGCTTCATGGTCTTGAGTAGACCTATAAGCTTCAAGTTTTTTGCGAAGGTCCGAGTCTATCTTACGCAATATCAATGCTGACAGTAAAGGGTTAGAGTTAGATGAGACATCACAATCGAGGGCTTTAAGGGCCTCACTATGTTCATAGAACAAGTTTATGAATCCCCTAAGTTGATGGAGAGAACCAGAGGTAATGTTAGGCAGGTCCATTATCTGGTTTAAATGCAGTGTGGTGAGCCGCCTTGTGTTGTGATAGCGGTCACGAAGTAGTTGATATGCAACCAAGTAGTTTGCAGTAGTGATGTTAAGGGATTTAATTAAGCTGAGGGGTTCTCCCGACACAACGCTTAAAAGGTACTGAAATTTGGCCACATTAGACACATTCACATTTTTGTGTACACTAGAGTCAAAGAGGTTAATAAAACTAACCCATTGTAATGGATTGCCATCAAAGTGTTTTAGTTCCAGCTTCGGGAGCCTAATATTTACTGACGCATGAGTAAAAATTGAACCTGGCTCGCTATGTGCAGAAGGGGTGCGTGGTTCGTCAATTGGATTCAAGGATTCAATAATGCTTTGAATTTTGATATAAACATCGTTGATATCATCTTGATCAGTAGAGAGTTGTGAGGTTGGAGCTTCTTCAGGGGCCAAACCTTCAAGAACTCTTTGAAGGTTACCTTCAAAGTCAGCACGTTTTTTAGTTATTTCTTTTGCATAACTACTTAAGGTTCTTAAGTTGACCTGGCTGAGAGGAGGGGGTAGATTAGCTACAGCTTCTACTGCAGTGAGAATTTTCTCAAACCTTGCTTTGATTAAAGCAGTGGAGCGTTCATAAGTGGAAAACTTGATTGGTCCAGGCATTGTTTAGGTTATGAATTACCTTACAATAAGTTCAAAAAATCTACAATGATGAAACCATAAAAGAAAAAAAAGTTATAATAAGCATTAAACATGAATAAATGCTAAGCAATGTTGTTAACAAAGAAACGTTAGTTTAAACAATTCATTAACAATAGTGGATAAATGTATTACTCTAATGGTTTGTTTTGTATTCAAACGTATTTATACAAAGTGGTTAGCCTATAAAATGTTTTTACGTTAGCCTCTTTATGTACAATCAGTGACAAATAAAAAACATAAATGAAAAATTAACAACTATTCAATATTGTTAAGTGGACACTATTTGTGTTCAAGAGCTGTCAAACGAATATTTAGATGAGCGAAAATAAAATATCAGAGGATTTATAGAACTGTACGGCTTTTAAATGGAATGCCGTAGTTTGAGTCGGTTCCGGATGTTCCACAATGAACACCGTTTGGCTTTGTACTAACAGCTGACTGAAACAGCTGACCTAGAGAGGCTATGAACGGAAATCAGCTACGCTCACCGCGTGTTATGATCTCAGTGATTGGTAGTACATACATAAAGTGTGCTCTAAATAGATATATCATAAACTACTTAAATTAACTAAATAAGTAATTTGATGATAGAACAATAATTAACAAAAAGTAAAAATGTAAAACTAGGTCATTTACAACAGTGAAGTTAAATCAGTTGATTCCTATTAATTAACTGTTTAACAGAACAACAAAACGCACCTAACAAGGATATACTATGATTACTCAAAAGAAAACAAAAGAATAAACAAGACAAACATGAAACGTCAATAGTGAAAGGGCCACTAAATATTGTATAATTTGCAGTCAAGGATTAAATGTATTACACGAGAGAACAACTAATAATAAACAATTGTTTAAAGACGATCAGCATTTATGACCACAAGAGGTGTTAGTATATTAATGTGAAATATAATTAAATGAGAAATAAAAACAAATAAAAATTGGCTAGGTCAATAACAAATTACGTTATGATTAATAAATTACAGTAGGCCTAGTATCGACAATAAATCAAAATTCACACATACACTTATAACTAATTAAAACTATTGACAGAGGCATATGTGTTGTTTTTGTTGTTGTGAGAGGAAGGAGAGGAAAAGAATAAAGTTCACATCAATTGCACAGCTGATGCGCTTTGAGTTCGGTCGATCAGCTGATCGATCAGAGGGGGGAGAACGCTCACGATCGATACGATCACCAAGCGAAGTTCGCGCAGGCGCGCATATCGTCCAATACAGTTCAAGTTGATTTGCAAAGAGGGGGAATCGTCGTTTCCCTCGTTCATGTACAACCGACGCAACCAAGAAAAAATGGCGATACCGCGCCAAAACGAAATAATTAATTTCAATAAGCACTTGTACTACAAAATGTTCAGAGTTTATGCACAATAAAATTAGTGTTTACCGCACAGAAAATTATGAGAGAGAGTGAGATTTGAGTTCAGTGAAATAATAACGAAAAATAAACATGTGGCTTTTCAAAGGACGCCGAGTCAAGGTTCAAAGTTGCAAAGTGGCAAGTTTCCAAAGCGTGATTCAAAGCACATCCGGCTCGAAGGACCAAAATGTTCGATTTGAGAGTTAATATAGAGTAGAAAAAACCAGTGTCACATACCTTTCAATAAGATCATCCAACATTGGAAGGTAACAGGGGGAATGGGGATTGGGTGAGCTCACCAGAGGGACACACAAGAAGATCTGGAAGTTCAGATGCACTACACACTTCGAAATGGGAAATTTAGTACTATTATTCACTGATTAAGAGATAGTTTTTAAAGTGGGGACACTTCCACCACGAGGTGGTCAAAAGACCGAGAGATTGCCGGACAAACGGCGCGGTGAGGCACATAGGTCCGATCGAGGAAGGTTTTAGACGCTAACTGAACAAAATCATGGTGGGGAAATTTGAATTTTCCATGAGAGGGAAAGAGACAGAGATAGATCACGCCATATGACGTAGGCATCGTATGATTTTAAGGAGAATGTGGGGGAGGGGAAATGCCGTGGTGTGTGTGTGTGAGTAGAGTAGAGTATATTTTACAGACTTCAAATAGATGACTAATATACAAATGAATATTAAAAACCTATGTACACTGTTAATTAAATGTTAATAAAATTAATGATTAATAATGAGACTACTAATTACGCTATTTACAGAACTGTACTGAACACAGCATGATCGGACTATGGGAACGGGGGTTTTTGGGAGGTTTTATAGGGTAAAATTAAGTTTTACCCATTTTTGACCCTAAAACACAAAATGTCACAATTTCTTTCCAAAACATTTTTAGAGCTTAAAAAAACAAATAATTTAGTATATTGAAGCGTTATTGTACGCTGGTTACGGAGAAAATTAAATTTAAATTTAAAATTCCCATATTATTCTTATGGAGAATAAGTCAACTGTTGTAGTTTGCTTGTTTATAGATATAGATTTTGATCGAATTTGTAAAATACATTCATTTCTTACTAAACTATTAACATTTAATAAAAAAAAACTTGTTTACCCTCCCTAATGCAGCAAACCTAAGTACTCGTAAAAAAATTATATTTAAATAGGGGATGAATGTTAAATTTTTAAGGAGGCATTTTAGTGTAAATCCAATCAGACTAATGGAAATTCGCTTAGTCTGCAGGTTTGCTGCGGCAGAGATATTAAAATTATAGCTACAATAAAACCAATTTTAACCAAATTCATAAAAAATACATTATATTCATTGTACAGAACCCGGGGACCGAGCCATGGCTCGCTATAGTTCATTTCGATTATAAAAGCAATATAAAGGAAACTCGCGTTTTTGACAACAGCATTTTGACTTTTATTATTAAGTGTAATATCAATTTATTGTGAATACTGCTGTCCAGATTATGTTAACTAAACTATAAAAAGAGTGCAAACAAATTTTAAGTCCACCCTGAAAAAAAGAGTGAAACATTGAGTTGACACCAGTGCACTCAAACAGCACCAATACGAAACACTCATCAACGCTGACTTGCTCTATTTCCCCCTATATCGAGTAATCTTCAGCGCAATCTTTGCTCAATAGTTACAGCTGATGTATATCACTGTTTACTGTATATTTTATAAATTGCTAGTATACTGTGGATGGATTGCTATAAACACATGTTACAAGTCTTTTGTTTACTTTTTCTTGTTATTTTGTTCAACCAACATAGTTACTTGACTGACAAACCATAAGGCCAATGTTAAATTTTCAAATGAGTTGTGTAGCGAAATAGGTACAAATTTTCCTGAGTAAGTGTCTGCCGTCACCTTTTTAAGGACATTAGTCCCTAATTCCAAAATGTTGTCAAAATTCTTTCGTTGGATTTCGAGATATATATTAAAAACATACATACATACAGTCGTACAGACAGACAGTTAGACAAACAGACTTTGCTCGTATTAGAGTATAGGATAGGATGTGTGTTAAAATAATTATCTTTATTTTAACATGGTACCAGCAATGAAACTTTCCTTGCACAGTCCTTTGGATTTGAAAGTTTTAGACTTAAGCTTAAAATAAAATAAAAAAAATGCATATATCAAAGCCATTAAAACTGTTTAGTATTAACAAGGGTTTATAAAAAAAACTATAATTTAAGTTGATATTTAAAAAAAGTTGTATACTTTCTTCGGATTGTATTCTAATATAAACAATCATGTAAATGGAAAGTTAAAACTCAGATTTCTTAAAAACAAGGCAGATTAAAACTGCCATTGTAAACTATGCTTGTGAACACATTGACTAAAGCGGTCATAGAGCATCAAATGTCCCGTGAATGTAACTACTTCAGCGTTCCTCTTGGACATTTCGGTAGAAAATATGGGTTTATAACTAACCTAGTTTATTAAATCCAAACAACATATTTCCGACTGAGTAATTTATATAACTGAAGCTATCCATCCAGTGACTATGAAAATAAGAGTTTTACATAACCTGTGCATGTCATTAGAATATTATGATATTCTAATGACATGAATATTATGGATTTTCAATTTCCTCACAAATCATTAAATCATATTATAGTAAAACAAATACCCCCGCCGCAGCAAACCTGCAGACTAAGCGAATTTCAACTTGTCTGATTTCATTTTTACTAAAATATTTCCATAAATAAGACATATTTTTATTCCCAATTTAAATAACATTAGATTTTACCAGTGCGTAGGTTTGCTGCTACGGGGAAGGTAAAAAGTGTTTTTGACCATATGTCAATACTATAGAATGAAATAAATAAATTTGCCAAATTTTATCAACATACATCCATAAACAAGTAAACTACAACAGTTTTCATTTTCTCCATAAGAATAACATGGGAATTTTAAATTACACTTTTTTTTAATTTTCTCCGTGACCGTTAGGCATAAAACAGCGCTTCAATATACTAAATTATTTCTTTTTTTAAGCTCTACAAAATGGTTGAGAAAGAAATTGCAAAAACTTTTATTTTTAGGGTTAAAAATGGGAAAAACCCATTTTTACTCCATAAAACCCCCCATAAACCCCTGTTCCCATTGTCCGATTATGCTGGTTCGCGAACTCGTTCAAATAAACGTAAGTTTACACGTTTGTACCAAATTTCATCAAAATCGAATCATATTTGCTCAAGTTATCGCGCTAACGGACACATATATAAATATATATATATATATATATATAAATATATATATAAATATATATATATATGAATTTGAACGGATGGTGTTTTTGGCCTCTGGGGACCTCAAAACGAAAAAGTAAATTGGTCCCGGGTCTAGGTCTTACCATGAGACCTACGGTAATATCTTATTCCCTATATGGGAAATTCGCTAAAACCAAAAAATACCCAGCCACAGCAAAACCGCAGACTAAGCCAATTTCCACATACCTAATTGGATTTTTACTAAAATATTCACTCGAAATTGTTAGATTTATTTCGTATTTAAATAACATTTATTTTAATGGGTATTTTAGTTTT